GGGGGGGGGGTGTTGAGTAGGCAGGCATTCCAGAGTATTCCACATGCATCTGGGCTTGTTGGGTGAAGCTGGGGCCTGACATCTGGGGCCAAATGCTTCATCCCGCAGCTGCCAGTTAAGCTGCTCCCAGTGCAGGTCTCGCAAACGGCTTAACCTTTCCGGGTTCAGAGCTGACGCCAGCGTGGGCTAGTGGAGAGCTGCGGCTCCCACAGGTAAGGTACCCGGATCTGAGACCTGTCAAATTTCGGCCAAATGAGCCTCGCATCACCTGCCTGGTTTATCTCAAGGACTGACTGTGAAGAGCAAATAAAACGACAAGTAAAAGCACAGGAAAGAACTAGAAATGCGATGCAATTGGCAGGTAGCTGAAGTGATTCCAAACCCAAACCTGTGATCTTACCTTCACGCCCTCAGACGCCCTCCTCGAGCTGCTTCCCCTCAGCTGCCCAACCGGCAGCCCAGGTGTCCTCTGGTTTCCCTTCCCTCTTCCTCCCCATGTTCAGTCAGCACTGGCAGATGGCGCCAGTTCTACCTTTAGTCCCCTCTTGTCCCTCCCAACCTGCACCCCTCTCCTGCGGGCCCAGCATCAGCTCCTGCTTGGCGGGGGCCCATCCTCCACGTGGCGGCCAGGGGCGCTGAGCAAAGGTGCATTCCGATCCCATCGCGCCCCTGCCTGTACTTAAAACCCTTTCATGACATCAGTCCCATTCGGAATAAAATCCAGAATTATCAATGTGATCCCAAACTCCCTACGGCATCATCCTTCCCCTTCCTCCAGTTCCTCGCCTAGTTCCAGCTGTGAAGGTAGCATCCCAGTTTCTAGAACATACCATGCTCTTTCCTGACTCGGAGACTTCACAAATGTCCTCAGCATTGAATTCTCTTCTCCCCTCAAGGCCATCAAAGTGCTCCCGCTCACTCACCCTCCCTCAGGGAAGACTATTCTCTAGCTAATCCTGGGATTAGTGGTCCCCACCCCACGCACTCAGTACCTTTGCTTCTTAGTTCCTCCTAGACTATTTAATTCTTTGCTAATTATTGCTTAGTGTCTGTATTGTCCACGGAGGCAGGGACTCTGATAGTTTATCCACTGCTGTCCCCAGAGCCTCACACAGTCCTGGCACATAGAGGTGCTCAACGGTGAAGGCTGAGGGGCAGGCCATGGCTCCTGCCACACCTCGGGGCTGTGGGGGCTACTCAGTCTTGCAGAGCTCAACAGAGCCACCAAATGTGT